AAAGGGAGGTAGAAAGAGTGTGCTAAAGTAAATAATGTTTTGCTAGTACTCATGCTTACACGATGCTGCGATTTTGGTGGCATTGAGGGTTTGAGTCTCTAATTTGTGTTTTTGTATTTGATAATGTACATACAGGATAGGGGTATCTATTGAGATTTGTAATTAGGGTAACGTGGCTATTGGACTATGGGGGGTGAGACGGTGAATGGGACATGGCTCAGTGCATTGTGGCCAATCTCACGCAAGAGTGTATCAGATGGCAAGGATGTGATTGGAATTTTGGCATTTGAAGTTACGGGTTTGATGTCTAAGGTGGCTAATTTATGGCATTCTTTGAGTGACAGGGAGGTAATGAAAACGAGGGAATGGATAGTGAAGTCGGTTGGGGTCCAAATGCTAGTGTCTGATGATCATTGTTTCTTGATGGAACTAGCACTGAGTGAGATTCTCAATAACTTTGAGTCTCTAGCATGGTCTGTGGCCAGGTTGAGTAAGAGGTGCAGGGATCCAGTGTATCGTGGTTATGAACATTTTGTCCTCAACCCTGCTCAACATTATGTTCAATGGTGTGGGTGGGAATATGCATGGAAAAAGATGGAGAGGAGGGTGAAGAAAATGGAAAGATTTGTTGCTGCTATGTCACTGCTGTCCCAAGAGCTTGAGGTACTGGCTGAGAGAGAACAAACTTTCAGGAGAATGAAGGCGAATCGCGAGGTTCATGGTGTGAAATTGCTTGAGTTTCACAAGAGGGTCATGTGGCAGCGCCAGCAAGTGAAGAATCTGAGAGACATGTCTCCTTGGAACAGAAGTTATGACTACATTGTCCGGTTATTGGCAAGATCATTGTTCACAATTCTGGAGAGAATCATTCTTGTTTTTGGAAATAGTCACGTACCACCAATTGAAAACCAACAAAATGATTCTCCCCCTGTGAACACTAATAACAACCATCTCACTCGCAGTCATTCCTTCTCTACTCTCATGCATTCTTCATTTAATCCTTTCAAGACTAATTCACATGGATTCTGTTCAGAACCTGTTGAGTGCAAACCAAAGTTAAACTCAGGGTTTGTACTTGACAAGACCAAGAGCAAGAGAAAGAAGAAAGAGCAACAAGTGCTTCATTCAGAAAGCAAGCATTGCAAACCTGTTGGTCCATTAAAAGGATGCATATCAGTTGGAAACAATTCTCCTATTGTACTACAAACTTGTGTGCCAACTAGTGGTGGCTCCATGAGGGTGGTTGATTGTCATGTGAAGAACATTGATAACATGAAACCAATGGATAAATTATCCCTCATATGGAGAACTAGAATTTATTTCAAACTATCTGTAAAGGGTCGGTTAAAGGCAGGTCCATCTACCCTTGGTGGTGCAGCTTTAGCTCTACATTATGCAAATGTGGTAGTACTAATAGAGAAGATGGTGTCATCACCTCACCTCATTGATCTTAAAACAAGGGATGAGTTGTACAACATGTTACCAACAAACATGAGAACCGCTCTGAGGGGTAAGCTTAAGTGGTACGCCAAGAGCAAGCGTGCCACAGTCCATGAAGCTAGCCTTGCAGTGGAATGGAGCATGATGCTCTCACATATATTGGAGTGGTTGGCTCCACTTGCACACAACATGATAAAGTGGCATTCTGTGAGGAATTTTGAGAGGGAGCAATCATCTTCCAAAGCAAATGTTTTGCTTGTGCAGACTCTTTACTTTGCAAACCAAGCAAAAGCTGAAGCTGCAATGGTTGAACTCCTTGTTGGTCTCCACTATGTGTGTAGGATTGATAGAGAGGCTTGCATGAGAGAGGCACACGAGTTTTCAGGGTCTAGATCTTCTAACGGTGTTCGTTTGAGAAAGAATGAGTTGTACAATAAATATTTATAGGCTACGTGAATGTCACCAATGATGTACAGTTATCATTTTCTAATGTAGCCTTTTCCAAGTAGTCCCTTGATACTGTTGATGTTAATACGCTGGGAATCACATCACGCTGATTCTGAGCTTTGGTTAATTGATTTTGCATATTAGAAATATTGGTTGGTTTTGTTCAAGGTATATAGTTTATTTTCTAAATTTGCAGCAATAAGATAGTTGAAAATAACAATAAATCCAACTTGCTATACTGAATAAATTAAGATAATTACCAAGGTAAATTGTAATTTATTGGACAAGAGACAAGGGCCAAGCAAATGAGGCTTAGATTAGCAAGTTTGAACACAGTTAAGTTTGTTTTGGTGCCATTTTTTGACTGGAGCTGTTTTAATTTAAAGTGTGTCTAATCTTTGAAGTAGAAAGGAAATGCTGCATATAGATATTTTAGTAACATTGTTTTGAACTGGGCTCTTAAGGCCCAAACTGTTGCAACAAACCATCTCGGCCACTGAGGAGCTTTGAGCCCCGTGCTAAACAATCTACCCTATAAGACAAGATAATAGAACAAAGCTAAACCATTTAAAATTATTAAAAAAATGGAACGAAAATAGAAAAAAATTTATAATTATAAAAAAAGTATGTATATACAATTTTGACAAAGTCTTAAAATGCAATATAGTATTAAGTCTTTTAAAAATTAAATAGCCACTTTTAAAATAATTTAAAGTTAAATATAATATCACTTGAATTATTTAAAAAATAATACAGTAGAAGATTGAAGCTATTTGATAATATAAATAGTTAGGCATTGAATAAAAAAAAAGTAATTTTTATAAAAAATTAATTATTCTTAGACATAAAGCTATCAATCTTAAAATATATTGATTTCTTTTAGGTTTAAATATGTTTTTAGTCCCTCAAATTTAAGACAAATTTATTTTTGATCACTCAAATTTAAAACTATTATTTTTAGTCTCAGTAATTTTTTTTAAAAAAATTTTAGTCCTTCAGGCCACCAATAACATATTTAAAAGTGACTAATTAAGATAGTTATTCAATATCAACTAGATTTAATGTAATATTTTTACTAATAAAGACACTAATAGATAGATTTTATGCTATAATATTTGATAAATTTCTTAACAAAATTTGAATATAAAAACTAAAATAATTTTTTTTAAAATTACTGAGATTAAAAATAAAAATTTTAAATTTGAGGGACAAAAAATTTTTTATCTTAAATTTGTGGGACTAAAAATATATTTAAGTGATTTCTTTTATATTAAAGAGAGCCTATTATACACACATAATCCAACGGTGTAGTGAACGGCCCATCAAAAAATAAGCCCACTTAAATTGCTAATGGCGACAGGCCCATAAAAATGTGTTGCTCTTTGGGCTCGGGCTTGCACTCTGGTCTGGTGGAGTAGCAGAAGGCAGAAGAAGGAGAAAAAGAAGAAAAATGCGTTGATGGTAACTAGAACGATGAAGAAGGGGTTGGTAGTGTACAAGATATACAGAGCCTTAAGCTGCGGCGTGTCGCCGTTAATCCGCCTTCACCTGCGGTGGCGGAGGTTCCTCGGCCTGGAGCACTCGCGGCGGTGGCCGGAGCGCCTCGGTCACCCCTCTCAGCCTCGGCGACCGGGACCACTCCTATGGTTCCACGCCGTTTCCTTAGGCGAAGGAATGATCGCCGTTCCCGTCATCAAGCACTGCATTCAGCGAATGCCTCACTTGAACGTGCTCATGACCATCACCACTGTGTCCGCTTTGTAAGACACTCGCACTCTGTTTCCTTTCTCCGAATTTCGGAGCATTTGAAAGCCTAGTTTAACCGATTGGTTTGTTTTTCCGCATTCCTTTGTTTGAGAAGAGAAATTGCTGGACTCATTTTATGAGGTTATTGTTATAATTTCTGTTTTTGGTGTAACGCAGTGAAGTGCTGAGCAAGTCGCTTCCAAGTGAAATCGTTTTACAGGTACACTGTTAGGGAATGCTAGCGTGGATTGAGTAATTTCTTCATCCGCATGTATCTTGTGTCAAATTAAGTTGAGAAATGTCAAGGACGCAATTTCTAACATACTCTTCATTTTACGAAGACTTGAGAGAGATACGAAGTGAGACTCATATGATATTCCTAGGTTTCCATTTGTGTTCTGGCTTGCTTATTATTCAGTATGAAGCACTCATACTCTATTTTGTTTCATGTATCCATATCTGATACGTTTTCAATAATGATATTCTTGGATACTTCACTGATACGTATATGTGAAGTATTCAAGCCTTAAAAAGAAAGTTATGAAAATCCAATGCAGCTACATATAAAACATAGAAACATTATAATACAGAAACATAGAAGCATTGTCCTTTGATGAGCCAAAAATGAAATGGATGATTTCAAGAAAGTACGATTAATATTCTTCTATTTAGAAAATAGGAAGTGATTTATGATGATAATGCTTTTTAATTTTATTTTGTTTTTAGTAATGTCCAAGAAGTATGTTCGTAATTAGGATTTGCATAATTGCAATTATATATTTGTTAGGTTTTATGAATTTATGTACATGTCTAAGTATGTATCTTACATGTATTGTATCTTGTATAATTTTATCTTATCTAGGCATCATACTTGATCAGTTTTAATAGAATTTCTTAAAATATTTTTGAAGTTATCATTTTGGCTACAGCCTTTTAATTTTCAGATTTGGCTTAATGCAGTTTATTGGTTTGCTGAAACTTTCAAATTTGACAGTTTTCACCAGTTGACACCCCTAGTTCGATCCATTCTTTCCTTGATTACTGGAAACCAAATGTTATTGTGCTAATGGAAAGTGAACTCTGGCCAAATCTTATCATGGATGCTTCCAAAAATGGTGTAAGTGATTCATTCTTATTAGTTTGTGGATCACATTTATAAAGCATGTTTAAGATAGGAAAATAGTTAAATGTTTAATTCATGCATCTGAATTCAATCTAACATAGTGTTTGTTAGGAGAGGAGGGGAGGGGTTTTCATGAACTTTTGTTGTATGGTTCAACTTTTAGGAGGGGAGAGGAGCAAAACTCCTTATCTAATTTTTACTGTTCTCCAATATTCGGAGATTTGGAGTGGAGGAGAGAGAATTTAAAACATTTTTAGTATAATGTCTAAAATATCATTATTTATGTTTTTAAATTCAAAACTGTAAGGGTACAATGGTGCATTAGTTTTTAAATCCTCCCACCCCTTCTTGAACCAAACAAGAAAAAAGTTACTCCCCTCTCCATTAAAATCCCTCTCCTTCTTTGAATCAAACAGAACTTAAATAATCTACCGCTTAAATGGTGGTTAACAGTAGTTGAGGCTAACTTTTTAAATTTAAAATGGTAGACCAATTATTTGCTCATACATCTGCTTCATTTCTATGAATGCATATCTATCATCTATTAGTTATACTGATTCTTACATATTATAACCCATTTTGCTCTTGTCAGATAACACTGGCACTCTTAAATGCTCGGATGTCTGAAAAGTCCTTTAAAGTTTGGTCAAGACAAGAACTTCTGCCATTAATTTCATTGATGTTATCGAAGTTTTCATTGATTGTCCCATTGGTATTTGCTTCTAGATCTTTTTACCTTCACAGTAATTCATATCTCTTATCATGTCATTATTGAACATTTTGAATATCAGAGTACAGAGCAAGGTATCCGGTTTCAGCTACTGCAAGCCCCTCCATATATCATAAACTTTTCTGGTGATTTAAAATATGGTATGTTGTTAATTTCATTATTTTTTTTATTCAAAATAAATGAAATTGAACATGAAAAAAATGATAACTGTTTGTTCTGATATACAACATCATTTTATCTTTTTTCTGAGTTGGTTTATTGACTTTTTAAAGAAAACTAGTTTCCTAGTTGATATCTATGTTGTTGCTGATATGTTTACAATTATATAAAAAGAAAATTATTGTTTTTGGTTCCTATTGGATTGTTGAATTTTTAGAGTGATACAGTGGTCTATACTAATCTTGTTTTATCACTATTTTCATTCAGTAATAGAAGATTTTGGAGTCAATGAAAGAGGCAGAAATAATATAGACGATCTGAGACTACAGCTTACTCAAAAGCAAGTTTGGATGGCTTCTTCCATTCATAGGGGAGAAGAAGAAAGTCAGTTCCATCTTCTGTACCTCTGGCATTTTGTTGCAAATACTTGTTTGTTCCTCAGCCATCTATTGAAACACCTGATCAGTTTGCTTAACATAAGAAAATGAGAGGGGAGCCAATAACATGGGAAAATTGGCATAATATAGGTGGTTTGATTGTTCTAGATTTGCTTTGCAGTCAGTAAAGATGTTAACATTTTAACTGTTTAATCAACTCTAGCCTGTGTTACATAATCTTGTCGAAATGTAGCAAATTCTATTTTCCTTTTTCTTTCCATAAATTAGTGATAAAAAGATACATGCTATGTTTAAAATTTTGCAAAAATTTATAAACTTGATATATTCATTAAAAACTTTTAATTTAATAGTTAGATTGTTAAAATAGTAAATAATGAGTTATTGAATAGAGTAATTATACCGAGAGTTACTCTTGGAATAACACATACACACACAAGAGACATATATATATATGTATATATATATATTATTAGTTATAAGACTACTTTACAATTAGGTGGAATTAGTTTGCCACCCTCTTTATTTTGATACTCATTTATTGTTTTCTTTATCCTTTAATGTGTTTAGATTTGATTGCTTTCTCTGCAGTAATATTAGGTGTTCACATTGCCCTTATGCAGCAGCAACCTAATATAATGACTATTATTGTCCCGCGGCATCCACAGGAAGGACGGGAGATTGCTAAAGTAAGCTTTTTATCCAATATTGTTTTGAAGCATTTTTTCTGGCTTCCAATGCTTATCTTCCATCGGAGGCAATTCTTACTTGACTTAAGAGACAGTTTGATACTGTTAGGAAACCACCTATTAGGAAATGACAGAGGGGAAATTGAATGATTAATGTAACAGATTGCATGTGCTGCAATCAAGGGGAGTTGAATTGAATTATTTATATAATAAGGAAATAATTGAGTTATTTATGTAAGGAAAGGAAATACAAAGGAATCAGGGGAGTAAGGAATTTGACCCATATAGCTTCAAGAAAGGAGTTGGGGATAATTGAAAAAAAGGCTGGAAAAGAGTGCAGGATCTCTCAAACACCCTGCGTACCTTTCATTTCTATAATTCTGCTGTTCTGGTGCTGCCATCGTTTGGTACCATAATTAATTGAAGAATAATACAGCAAATTTACCCTAGTTCAGGGTGTTTTGATCCAGTGTCTAACAAACACTAAATGGGTAAATGTTGGCCCCTCTCTTAGCAGAAACTCAAACGTAGTTTCAACTTTGCAGGGACTAGTCCATTCCTCCTGACCAAACACCTGTTAGTGTTTTTTGTGTTTTTGTTCATTAAAAAAATATTTCTTTTATTTTTAAGAGCTTTTCTAAAAAAATTTTGCCTTGGCTTGTCTTTTTAAAGAGAAGAGAAGCTTTAGAAAAGTTGGGTTAAACGCCAATTAAATCATTGTGTATGGGTATGCTCATTTCAAATGACCATCAGTTTCTACGTCTCCTTTAAAATCATTTGCATACAACAGAAATGATGCTCATTCAAAAATTAGTCTTGTTTTTCAACGCTTTTTCCCCCTACCATCTCTGAAATTCATGGTGCTTCTATTTGATATAGTGCAGAAATTGGAGAAAGAAGGACAAAAGGTAGTTTTGAGGTCTCGATATGAGAAGTTTAAGCCAGAAACTAATATTTATGTGGTGGACACTTTGGGTACAGATTCCTTTCTTTTTCACTTGCAAGAAATGCTCGCATACATGAAAATTCACTTTTACTGAGAATTGAGACCATGCGATTTCCAGACCTGATGAGTTTTCTCCTCATTCTTTGCCATAATTCACGTTGAAGTTTATGTAAATATGGAAGTATCCTTTCAAGGCTATTATATTACCAAGTATTGGACAAAGGGTACCTTGGAGGATGGAATTATTAGGCTTATTAGGGATATTATCCATGATATTTACTGTCATCCATCTTCTTTGGCAGGTGAATTAAGACACTTGTACACATTAACACCAATAGCTGTGATTGGGGGTTCATTGCTCCCTGGTTTAGCTGGCCATAATATCTCAGAAGCTGCTGCAGCTGGGTGTGCTGTTTTGACAGGTGCTTGTTGAATAATGCAATTCTCAAATCTCAACATACTATTTTAGTGGTTGGAACTTGAAACTCATAATTGATTTCAGGTTATCACATTGGGCATTTCTCCCACATGGTATTGGAAATGCAACGATCAAATCCTTTGTCAGTTCTTCAGGTAGGGTGACAACTCATTTGCTAATCAACATTGTTCTTCAGCTTGAACATTCTTATACTGTTGTCTGTTGTCGCTTACTTGTAGGTTTCTGGAAAATCGGAGCTTGAAAAGGCTCTCTTTGAACTCTTCACCAATGCAACACTTCTGGAAGCACGCCGTAGAGCTGCTAAGGAAGCGTTTTGCAGTTTGTCCTGTGGCATTGTTGAGAATATTTGGAGTTTGCTAAATTTTCATGTTTTGAGTGGTTTATCTGCAGGGGAATCCAGGAGTCTAAGACTATGAGAAATGAATGTCCCCAGAAATTTTCATTCAGACTCGATCCATTTCACAGTATTGGTGGTTTGAATCTCCGAAAGAAAAGATCAAGTTATCACCAAATCTTTTTATACATATATTTTTTTTTATGAAATATCATCATATCTTTTTGTGCATTAGTCTAACAGTGCCGTCAATCCTCTCCTCCAAAATCTGTTGCTTTTTAGGGACAATTTACTTGTGTTTTTATTTCCTGTTTGCAGTTTTTAGTTTCAAAAATGCTATCTTGATTTTAATTTGTTTTAACAATTTATAGAAGAAACAAAAACAAAAAATTGCTTTTAGTATTTTTATGGTTTAAAATCTATTTGATTCCTATAATTTAATGAAACTTAACCTTTTTTTTTTCTTGGCTATAGTGAAAAATATTTCATTTTGATTCTTATACGTAATTTTCTTTTCCACTTAGTTTATGTAGTTTTAAAAAAATTTACTTTTAGTCCCTATTGCAAATAGATGACAAATATTAAAAACAAAAATGACAAGTATATAGACTAAAATTGTAATAATTTTAAATGTTAAATTTATGAAATTATAGGAATCAATTAAGCATTTAAACTTATTTTTGAAGAAATTCGAAATGGAGGACCTTGCAGTTGAAGCAATTGCAGGCAGTCTGGTCCCAAGAACAATCACCTCTGATATACGATGGGATCTTGTAGGTGGTTAAAAGAAAAAAATAATTACAGAATAGGAATACACAATAATGTTTTTTTTAGTTGTTGGAGAGTAAGTAGAAAGAAGGAAAGAAAGATAACCTATAGAGACAATTTTTAAATTTTCTTTCATCTCATTTTCTTTCAATTTAAAATTTAAACTTTTCTTTCTTTCTCTACTCATTTTCTCTCATTCCGAAACATAGAGGTAGGTATGGAGGTGGCATTGAATATTTTTTGACTCGTACTTGATAATTGCTATTTGTAATCATTTATCACATCATAATCTTTCGTAGTTGGTGATATCATAAAAGTATATTTTATTATTGGATATAAATAATATTTATGGATCACAACATAAAACATGTACGGAACTCAAGTCTTAAATATGGTTGATTTTCTTTAAAGTTATTTTAAAGCTTTTAGGTATTTGGTACGAAAATAATGGTGTTTGAGAAAATTGAAAAAATCATATTATTGGAACAATTGATTGTAATTTGGATGAGTTTTTATTTGGGTAAATTTGTTTGAAAATGATTCTAAGCTATTTAATTTCATTTAGATACAATAAAAATTAGTTTTTGCAGGAAAAAGATAGTTAATTATTCCTATATCATTATAATTATGCAATTTTGATTTTTAAGATTATAATTAGACAATCTTAGCCTTTAAATATTGTAATTATACTATTTTAATCCTTTCAGTATCATAATTATATAATTTTGACTTTTTTAAGTTATATATATTATAATTTTTATTTATGTATTAAATGATATAAATTTATGATTACTAAAATTATTAATATATATAATTTAAATAGGTAAAAATTGTATAATTGTAATATTGGAAAGACTAAAATGATACAATTATAATACTTGAGGAATTAAAAGTGTTCAATTAAATATTAAAGGGCCAAAATTACATAACTATTATACTTAAAAATCTAAAATTGTTCGATTAAATTTTAAGAGAATAAAATTAAACAACTGCCATACTCAAGGGAGAAGAGTGCATTTAAGAAAAAAAATAATTAAAAGATTCAAATTTTTAGATTTGTGAGAACAGTTTATTTTTTTAGGAAAAAAATTAGTTTATAAATTTTCTGTTGTTCTAAACAATTAGTTTATTTTATAAATAATTTTTTAATAAGTAATTGGAGAGAAAATATTATTATTACATGAGATGGATCAGAAATATATTTTCTTTACTGAGACACATGAAAAAAATTGTGAAGATTAGAAAGAAAAGGAGGTAAAGAAATTTGGTAAGCTACATGACCTATTTTTCTGAGAATTTGATAAGGACCAATAAATCGAGGTGTGAGTTTCTTTGATTTCATCACCCTACCAATTCCGGTTGTTGGTGTAACTTTCAAAAATACATGATCACCTTCCTGAAATTCAAGAGGTCGTCTTTTTTTATTAGCATAGCTTTTCTGTCTGCTTTGAGTCGTTCTCAATTTTTCCTGAATCATTTTGATTTTTTCCGTGGTTTGTTGTACCAATTTAGGGCCCAAGATTAAATTTTCTCCTGTCTCAAACCAACACAAAGGAGTTCTGCACCTTCTCCCATATAGAGCTTCATAGGGTGCCATACCTATGCTAGAATGAAAACTGTTGTTATACGTGAATTCAATCAGAGGCAGATATTGATCCCAACTACCAGAATCCTCTAGCACACAAGCTCTCAATAAATCTTCTAAGGATTGAATGGTCCTTTCTGATTGTCCGTCTGTTTGAGGATGATATGCAGAGCTAAGGCGAAGCTTAGTTCCTAATGCTTGATGTAAACTTCCCCAAAATTTAGAAGT